TAATCTTGTTGTTGCGTCAAATGTGTAACATGTGGACGTGCATTGTCGTGGAGAAGAAGAACACCTTTCAGATTGACGAGTGAAGGGCGTTTCTGATGAAGGGCTTGATTTAAACGTTCCAGTTGCTGACTATAGATCTCTGCATTGACAGTTCCCTGTGGAATGAGTTCGAAATGAATTACTCCTTTGATGTCCCACCAAATTCAAAGTATCACTTTCTGCTGATGGAGTCCAGGTTTTGGGGTAGGAAGTGGTTTTCGTCTAGGACTGAGCCATTGTTTTTGGCGTTTAATATTCGCACAGAAAATCCATTTTTCATCACCAGTGACAATTCTGTCCAAAAATGGTTCACGCTCATTACACGCCAAAAAAGACGAAGCAACGTTCACATGTTGAAAACGATGATCATCGGAGAGTGAGTGAGGCACCCAAACACCTTTTTTTATGGAGTTTTCCCATATTCATTAAATGTTTAGGTATTGTTTCATGAGACACGTGCAATTTCAGGGCCATTTCACGAGTGTGTTGCGTCTTCAGAGCATCAATATCAATTCCAACATGTCGGCCCCTGCCATGACAGTTTTTAAGTCTAAAGCCGCCTTAACGAAATTTGCTAAACCGTCGTTGATACTTACGAACGTTCAAAATATTTCCATAAACGTCTTTTATACCTTTTGTGGCTACAGAGACGTTGTATCCCTTCTTGTATTCAAACAGCATTACAAGCCTAATATGTATTATCACTATAAGGGATTAGAGTATACTAAACTTTACACATAGCTACACTAACGTGGCTTTTAGGCGGTTCGTTTAAGTATTATACGTGATGTACGTTTTGGGGGGATGGTTAATAAAAGTGTTCCATAACGCGACATCAATTTCTTGACGATCTAATAAAAATGTATTTGTTTTACTTAAAGAACTTGAGTTATATATTAGTTAGGACAGGGGGTTGAAATTTGTTGTTATGGTTTATTGCCACGGTAAACTCACCTCCATATTGTAGTTGCTATTCATGTACCCCACACACATACCTATGTGATCCAAAATAACGTACAAAATCTGTGCATTTCGTAATTTTTAACTTAGAATCATAAAACAGGTAAAATAGGACCTTATGGTAAAAAACTTAAAAAGTGGGTAAAGTTTATTCGGAAGTATATTAGGTTATCATCAAGTTGGTGATATTCTAGTACGTTTTTTACTTTTTAGTGAACTGTTTTCACAGCATTTATTTTTACTGCTTTATGATTTTAAACATATATATATAGAACAATTATTTCAATAATTGTAAACGTAACAACAATGGAAATGTTTCTTATATTAAAACATGTAAGCAGTAATTGTAGGAATAAATTTACAAAAAATAAAGGTGGGGTAAAATTGAAAAAGGGAAAAATTACGTTACATACAAATAAGGCTCAAATTATCAAACGTTATAGATTTGAAATTATTTTTGCTGTAATATGAAACTTATTCATTAGAAGCATCATGTTTCATTCGCACTGTTGCCTTAATTTTTATTGAAATATTTTGCCAGATTGAAAATGTCATTAAGTCCGTACATTCCTCCTGATTAACTTATCCGGTATTTAATCTAATGCTTCAGATATTGCTGATTTTGATGATTTATGTTTCACAAAGCATAATCAGATAGCGATATTTATAGATTAAAGGGCAGAAAACAGACAAATAAAGGACTAAACTACATTATGGAAAATGTACTACCCATCATAATAAAAGAGGTATCTAGGAAACATGAACTACACAGCCGTTGGGATAAATCTTCTATCAAACTTATGCTGTATTTGCAAACTTCACATCTAAAACTATCCCCATCTACCTGAAGTTTTTACAAGATAGTTGTTTTTAATGAAACAGAAAAGTAAAGAATGGTTTAGTCTGTTGTGAATTTCGCGCAAAGCTACACGAGGGCTATCTGCGCTAGCCGTATTTAATTTAGCAGTAAAAGACTAGAGAAAAGGCAGCTGGTCATCACCACCTACCACCAACTCTTGGGATACTCTTTTAGTAACGAATAGTTGGACTGAGCGTGAAATTACAACGCCCGCACGGCTGAAAGGACGAGCATGTTTGGTAGAACGAGAATCCGAACCTGCGACCCGCAGATTGCGAGTTCAACATCTTAATCACCTGGCCATGAAATGAATAATAGTTAATTGTAACCACAACACAATGAATGATAATAAAACTTATTTCCTGAAGTCGACATTCCATGTATTATATATGTGTGTACGAACAGCATAATAAAATCTGGATTTCTTTTATAAAAAACTTTTAACTGAAGAAGCTAAATCCTTTTACTTTCCAATAATATTCTTTCTTTGATATGGTCTCTGTAAGAAGTTAAACTTTCCAAACAATATTCACAGTTTACGCTTTTCGTAGTTCTACAAGTTATTTATTACAAACATTGATATGTTAATATAATTATTAAATATTATGTAGTAACACGCTATGCTACCTGTTTTCCACTCCTTTTTGTTTAAAATTAAGTTTTACTAAATTTCCCTTCCACTACAATTGCTAAAATTGAAATATGGTATTGTTCAACAGAGTGTCTAACCTTAACTTTGCCCTAGGACTAATTGGGTCAGTTGGAAATTAGTCACCTTCTTGTTTGATTCTCTTACAGCAGTAAGAGAATATGGTATTGTTCAACAGAGTGTCTAACCTTAACTTTGCCCTAGGACTAATTGGGTCAGTTGGAAATTAGTCACCTTCTTGTTTGATTCTCTTACAGCAGGGGTCACCAAACTACGGCCCCGCGGGCCGCATTCAGCCCGCGAGGTCTGTTCAACCGGCCCGCCGCTGCACTGTGCCGTATAATTTCTTTCCGAAGAAACGTTAGCGATACAAGTCATTTCTTAAATAAAACTGGTTTATTCTTTCTAAATACAACTTTACAATACACTTAATTTCCACAGTCACGCTATAACAAACGCTATAATTCACAACAAACGTCTCACGTGCTCGACTCAACAATACGTCTCTCTAATAATGGCTGGAGACGGCTTGAGTGGGTAATGAAGAAAAACTTTAATATAAGTTTAACATAACAGCAAATGTACAACGTTTCGACAAGGTTTTGTCATCATCAAGTGATCTAAGTAAAGTACCTCTTTCTGGAACTAGTGGCATTTCTTGGGATGGAGTTTGAGGTTTGCTGCTTTCAAACGCTTAAATACTTCCTCTAGCCGGGACATTTACTCATCAAAAGTTGTTGCAAATACAATGACATCGTCCAGGTACACTAGGGCTATTCTCCATTGTAGGCCTTCCAATACTCTTTCCATCAGCCTCTCAAATGTTGCTTGAGCATTACTAAGCCCGAATGGCATCACTCAGTATCGCCAGAGACCTTGGCCATAACTAAATGCTTCGGCCATTTTTACTTGATGGAAAACCAACTTTAAGTCCAGAGTTGAAAACCTCCTGGTTCCACTTAGGGCATCAAGAGTATCATCAATTCTTGGCAGTGGGTGTGAGTCTTTTTCGGTTATACTGTTAAGAGCCCAG